TATCTAATGCTTTACTCTATCAGCAACTATTTAATTTCTTATATATTAGAGGAAAATCACAATCCAGTTAAACAAGTAAAAACAAAACCTGAATAAAATCCAGTTATTTGACTTTAAAATGCAGAAAAGATAATTAAAGTTTATCATTTGTTGCTCTTTTCGTACCAAGATCAGATTACTGAAAAATTTTAACTTAATTTTCTTGACCTGCGTATTGTTCAGCTGTCATGAGAAGTATGTGACAAAAAAAGAAACCATAAAACTATTTTACAGCTGGATAAAATGTTGACGAGGGCCAGATTTGGCCCACGGGCCTTGGGTTTGTCATGTACTGTATACAGTATGTATATAATGATATTTTAACCACTACCTCCAATAAAGGGTTAAAGGGTAGAGTTAAGAGTTGTAGTCACAGTGGGAACAATGGGTTTGGGTGTATTYGTTAGAAATAAGGTCACACACTGTGTTTTAGCTCAGGCCACCACTCAAASCAACTTGAGCCAAAAATATATGAAGAAATTTAGAGTTAGTAGAGGTTAGTACTGATGTTAGAAACACAACACTATATTCTTAAGTTCTCCTTTTTGTAATGTTGACAKTGTTTAATCTATTAKGTTTTGAWTGAAATAGGTATAGTTACATGTCTGAAACATCTTTTACAACACATAWTTAAACGTTTGAATGACATTAGCTGAGAATTTCGTCTGAAAGCCTGTGACTCAGCCGTAGGCCAGCAGGGGGCGAGCGAAGGCATTGAAGGGCCTGTATAAATAGATGKACTTCCTGTTTTTTCAGGCAGTGTGGGTTTACTGTCTGCCTCARCGACAATGAACCTCACTCAGATACCAGAGTTCTGGTGTTGTATGGTTTCATTCCTTCTACAAATCGCTTTATTTAACATTTGTGTTTATAATCTCGACTTCAGTTTATTGAATACAAATTTTCTTACATATAGACCAGGTGAGAGCAGAGTAGGGCCAAAACACAGATGGGAGGGAAAAGAAATCTTTCCACAACAATCTCCCCGACACATATGAGTTCACACTCTATTCTAATCACTACAGCTACACCAAAGTAAACAGATAAACATTCCTTAATTTCTCTGCACAGATGCCAGCAAACTACTTGAATAATATTTATTTTAGCGCGGCGCACCTGCAACAAAAGGATGAGCAGCGTGTCAAGTGGCAATCCCGCTGCTTCACCTCCGGGTCGTTCCTCTCTCGTCTAAGTCCCTCACAGCAGACTCTGCAAACCAGGGGATAAATAGATCCTGCTGAAGAGGCTGATGTAGTACTGTAACGATGAAGATCCACTCTACTTGACATTTACTCCATCCTTGACTTTTGCCACTTCTCTCCTCTCCCGACATTTTTTTAGTGTCGAAACCAAAGCCTCATTTGTGGCGTTTGTGTTGCTCTTTTTCAGGATTATCAAAGGCCAGGGCATCGACATCAAGAACCTCAGCTCCAGATCACTCCTTACAGTCACCAACATGACAGAGGATCGTTACGGGAACTACACGTGTATCGCCACCAACAAGCTAGGAACGGCTAATGCCAGCGTGCCTCTTATTCGTAAGTTCTCCTCCTTCCTGCTTGTGCTGAAGTTAGAAAGTGTTGTTGTCAGTGAAAGGTGAAACCTTTGCAGGTGCAACAAAACTAAATGGAGTGCATTTCAGTGTCCAAAAATCAGCATCAGACRTTTTCTTTTTTCCCCTCAACACTGTTGTAAAACCTGTGTTCTGCTCTGTTTGTGTGTCTGCTTCTAAAGTCTTTATATGAAAACGCCAACTGAAAGTGAAATTTAGCTTGGAGGTAATGACATCATAATTGCAACAACAGCTGCACAGGTTAGTAATGGCAGGCTGAGTGTCAAATAGAATGATGCAGCTTTTTTAAAAAAACAGTCCCGAGACTCGGCCCTTTCATAATTTTCAAAGCTTGCCGAGTTCAAAAGAGGCCAAAACATCAGCAGCCAAAGTGTAAGTGCATCAGTGATACGCTGCACAATTATTTATTGTTGCTCAGAGCATCACTCTTGAAAAAAAGATGTCCATAAAATGGTAGCTCCCATCAGTTTGAAGAGCATCATGACTCATTATATGGCAAAGCACTGCACAGCAGACTTGAGACATCATATCCCGAGTAAGAATGTCGACTCAAGGCATTTATTTAATCTTTTCGTTGTGACAGCTGGGAGTCAAACGAAACGGCTGTTTTTGTTTTAACAAAATCATTCAGAAGCTTGCTCACATTGGAATGGCTTTGTTTTGACACACTAATGACATATTCCATTGCAGTTTCACTTTTTTTATTATCTTTTGAAGAGATCTTTAYTGCATCATTTTGCTTTTTTTATGCRATTGTGTTCTGCCTAAACATTGTCTCAGACGCCTTTGGTGAAGACTTGGAGCTGTGTGTTGTGGAGGAGCCATAAACCAGGCTATATGGTCTCTCTGCAGACCAATAGAAGTCACAACAACTGCAGTACTGTCGGTTCTAGACATCGTAGACAAAGTGACGAACAAAAGTAGACAAAAAAACTCAAGGGGGAGGAAAACATGGATGAGTTTAAATACTTGGTTTCATTTAGAAAATCTGTGTGTTGTTAGGTATTTAAGGTGATTTATCAGCAAAATCAAAGAAAATCACTGGTTTAATCGTTAAAGTTAGTGTCAGTTTTAACAATAAAAAGTGGTAATGATTCATAATTTTAAAAGAAACAGCTCTAAATTTAATACATTTCAGCTGATTATTTTCTTAAATCTTCCTAAAACTTTAACAATTACCGAGTTTGTTGAGCCAAATAAAAGTTTATCAACCAGCGAGCCCACTGAGGATGAGGAGGGTYGGGATTGAAGCCTGTTGAGCTTTTCTAATTCCATCTGTAGCAGCGATTTTATCCGTTGATCCCAGCTGTCACTTGTGAGTGTGTAAAACCAGCAGGTGTAAAATGGGCACTGCTGAGGACAGCTGTTGGTGATGGAACCTCAGCTTTCCATCAATGTGACTCTGCACAAAATCAATGCACCGGCCATAACCCCAATAGCCCCGATTGTGTGAGTTTGTGCACACACTCCCAAAGCCGATATGACAAGCTCTTCAACCTGGTCCTTCAATCCACCAAACATACTAGAAATCGGGTTTTTGGAGTTTTCTCACTTAATATCTACAGAGCAACTTCTCGGTTTAATCTTTTGTAACTTAGATAAAGAGATTGAGTTGTTTTACAAATTGTGGTAACAAAAAACACTTTCACTCCATCAAGTTTGCTTTATAAGACTAATAATTATAACATTATAATGTAACTGCCTGATACTCATTAGGCAAGGCAGTGACGGGCACAGTTCCACTAATCCACTAATAACAGAAATAGCTTCTCATTTAGCGGATTAGCTTTTTTGCTAACTTTTGAAACCGTTAGCGAAACTATTATCTTCCGCTAATTTAGGTTCCACTTACAGACCATTTTGTAGTTGAAAAATGATACAAGTGCACATGCACAAAGTGARCCGAGCTTGCACATTTTTTTGGGAAAACGCTGAGGTGACTATGAAAACACGTGTGTAGCATTTAGCATCATTAGCAGCTAAACTTCAAACTAAGAGTGTCAAATAAAAAACATTTAACAATATTTAAATAACAAATRCAAAACTGACTGCATATAAAAAGTATTTGCYATTTGTTGTTTGACAAACTTCAAACAGTATTTATGAAAGTACAAACTYGATCAAAGAAATGYTTTTATTCTGAAAGGGGTAAACTGGAATCAATAGGAAGCYAACAACAGGTTTGCATCAGTCCCATCAGTCTTCAGCTGGAAGGAGATGAAGACGAGTGACGCAGGCTGAGTGACAGTCGTCTTAGCAGTYAGCGTTAGCTTCCACTAAACTTTAATCTGTTTAACGTTAACAAAGCTAAGATTCKTGTTTAGTGGATTACTGGTTAGTGAAGCGTTTTGGTTAGCTGTGCCCASAGCTTTAAAGCAATTGAAGTTCACAAAAAGGAATTTTTAACATGATCTCTACATGATTATTGTCCATCTAATATTGTGTTTGAAAAACATTTAATTTCTTCTTACAGACTCAAAAAATTATTTTATGTCATAAAAAGGCATACGGCTTAAAGATGGTTAAAAATGTCCAGAACATAACATCAGAAATCTGAGACTCAAAGACCTAACATGGAAACTCAGTTTTGGTCTGATGTCTCCTCTGAGACGTATTTCTGGGTTTCCAGGGATTAGGTGAGTAACAGACATACACCCAGGCTGCATCTTCTAGTCTTAAAATATAGTTACAATTTAAAAAGGCTAGTGARAAGCTAAATTGTAGTYGTTATGATACATTAAAGTTTATTATCATCCTGCTGATCTAATCWAACAAAAGCTTTCTGTGGGTTCACAGCTAAAAATTGTGTTCATTAGCAAGGAGAAACAGAGATTCCCTAAATACTCACTTCCAAACAAATCATAAAGCAGTTTGATGATTCCACCAAGAAGAATTAACCTTTTTTTTTTTGTCTTTATATTTGAATAAACTCATTCAGGCTTGTTTTACAGCTCCACTCAATCTTTCTTAATGTTTTTAAAGTTCATAAGCTAGCAAATGTAGCATTTTTTTTCCTTTTGTTTACCTGCATTTTTAGCAGCCGAACGAAGCAGAAAAAGTAAATATCTGGGGAAAATCATTTTCTCCATGTTTTAGAGTGAAATCTGGGTTTAACAATTTACTTTAATGCATTCAGTGCTGAAATATGAACAGGTGAATTTAATAATTCACCAGTTTGTGCTGCTCTCTCTGATGATAACATTGTCCCTAGCAGGACGTAGAATCAGAAAAGCGTAGTTTAAAAAAAGCTTGTATGTGGAGTWGGCTATTGTCAAAGGAGCCCTCCACTCCCCTGTTTGTGTATGCACAAAGAACATCAAAGGCTTGTTTCAGACTCTCAAATAGATGATCTTAATATGACACTAGCAAGGGCTCAAAGGCAGAACGACAAAAAAAAGCAAAAAAGAACTGTGAAAAAGCAAAGAGGAAGAGCTTCCTGAGTTGCCACCCCCAACTCCTTTCTCTTTTTCTTTTATTTACCTCTTTGACTCGTTATCTTTTTCATGTCTGACTTTTTCATACTCTTGTTCCCACTCTTTCCTCCTTGGAGCTCATTTCTGTCCTTTTTAAGACACAATCTACCTAACCCCCCCATCTCTTATAATCTCTACTAATGGAGGAGAGACCAGTTTGTATGTTTCTCTTAAGGAGAAATGGCATTCAGCACTCACTCAGCGCTAAAAACAAAACCCAGAGGTTAAATTTAGCCGGGGGTAAATCTGAATTGAAGAAATGCATCAATAGTCGCTGATGAGGAAGATGTGATGAAGGAGAAAGAAGCGCGCGTTTGATAGCGCGTTATATTAAGGTGAATTTTAAATAGCAGCACAATGTGGGTGGTTTGTTTTTGTTATCCTATTATATTTAGAGGTTTAAGTGGGGGTTATAAATTCATAAAGCAGRGGTTATGCACACTTAAAAGACATCTTGGAATATTTGAAATAAAATAATAGCATTAAGAGCTATGTTTCAATGATGTCTTCATCTTAAATGGACGCTCTGTTTACCAACGTGAATCCTTTTTGTCTCAACGTATTAGAATCGCATTAAACCAGGCTTGTTGTTGTCACTGATGAGAAAAACTCTGAATAAAGTAAACACATTTACCTTCTGTCCAGAGCAGCTATTGAAAAGCATGAAGTGTTTTTTATTTGTATTTTTTATGAAATGATACAAGAACAGAACTCCAGTTTGTGTTTGTTTACATGTTTACTTTCTGACTAATTTCTCTCRTTTTGAAACGAGCTGAATGGTCGCTTCCTCGCCATCTGCTGTATTCTGCCAATCGTACGACAAGGCCCATTCTGATTTCCTTGCTGTCAAACTATCAGTCACGGACTGTGAACTCTTTCGGCTAAGTGCCACTTTAAGCTATGTGTTAAAAGCTGCAGTAAAACATAAGCYGGAGTTATTTGCAAGCAGAGAGCAGAGCCTCTGTCACTTCGTGTTGGAGTAATGGCTGAATCTGGGAGTGTGCATGTGTTTCAGAGCTCCCAACGCTTTTAAAATGTTTTAAATAACGCATTTAAAAAAAAGAAAAACAATCAGTACAGTCGAGAGCACTTGTCATAATTGTTTGTACTTCAAAGGAACAGTTAACTGATGAAAGTTGAACGAGATCAGCTGGGTAATAATTGTAAATGAAGCAATGAATTATCAAAAACAATCATTTCTGTAAGTGTTAAAAGATTAAAACTTATATTGATGTAGTTAGTACTGTATTTTACCTGTAGTACAGTATAGTGTAGTACAGTGGTGGGTGGTGGTGATGTTTGGCTAATAAATATATAGATATACATAAAATGCTGATAAAACAAAATTAAATTTGTTGGTTACATTTACAGTTAGCCAGTTTAATGAGCTGTAAACCAAGGGGGTGTGACAAGATGTGTCAATCATTAAACAAATAGGGCTGTGAAAAGTTATCCCTTTAGAAAGACTYGGTGATCAAGATTGTTCGGCACC